CCAGCTCTCTCAACATCTGATCTCCAGGACTACTGGTCTTAAACCCAAGCCTCAGATGCTCCCAGATTTAAAGGCTGTATTAGTTACAGGAACAACCCAGCTTGTGCTGCTTCTTTCCTCAAGCTTACTGGAAATGCTGCCATGCTCACAAGTCATTTTAACAAATGAAACAGAGGACACAGCCCAGCCTTACAGGGAGATACATGCCCCTGACTTTGATCTAACGGCAGCAGATGTGGATACTGCGACTCTTTCCTCTTAGCTCTCTTCACATACACACTCCAAAGATTAAAAACAAGTTGCTTGTAGCCACTATTGAAGTTAAAAAAGAAGAATTAATGAAAAACTGCTTTCCATCTTGAATATACAATGGGTATTAAAAACAACTATGTATCTTTTCCCGAAATCATAAAAAGTAGCTTGGAACCTTTTCCCCAGTACTTCAAAGCAGAAGTACATCTTAGAGCTTGTACAGATTTCTTTAGTGAAATGATGACAAACCATTATCTTAATGGATCAAGAAGTGCTACTTTTATGCCTTATTTTTATTAATATTGCTGCACATTGTAGAGGTCCACAAATACACTAGATATTGTATGTACATAAATTTGGACAGAGTGCCTGCTATTGAGCACTTGCAATGTAATTAGGCAAGCACGAGCTGGGAAGGAAGAATGGTAGCTGGAAATTTGAGGCATGGAAGATGAATTCTAAGCTGTTGTTTTCCAGAACAAAGGGGCTGTAAATATTCAGGAGTAGCACCTGATTTCTTGATGACTACCCAAAGAACTTTAAATCTGGGTACAACCAATTTTGTCATATCTTGTAGCCCGTGAACGTAAAGGAAACATTTCCCAACAACACAGGTAAAAGCAGGTCCAGGAGGGATTATTCGTCTAAATAGTGACAGCATGTAACTTACACCACTTCTGAAGTGCCACTGAAAGGTGCCACTCTCCTTAATGTCAGAGGAGTTGGTGCAGTAACGCAGAGGTTAACTGTTACCATTCCATCTTGTGTTAATCACAGGCTTGACTAGCTCCTGCTGGTGCTGAAAAGAACAGAAAAATGTATCTTTGGGCAGATGAAATAAGCACATCTCCCTGCTTAGGACTGACTCATCAGAGCAGGGTAACTAATATCTGATTGTACATCCACAGCACCTCAGCTTCTGGAGGCTGCTTAGAAAATGTGCTGAACGAGAACATCCCCCAGACACTGTGGCTGTGCCTGTTTATCAGTCAGGCTCTGAGACGTGCCAACTGGCTCTCAATTTCCTACTACAGCAAGGCAACAGGCAATTTTTAATTGAAAGCTCCTCTCCCCAGCTAAACAAGTCCAGTATTCACAGCCTCAAAGCCTCTGCTAACCTGGTAACGTGGCATTCAGTTTTACTCTTCTGCTGGCATCCCCTGCTATAAATGACTGATGTTGGGATAAGAAAAGTACTAAACGTTGTATATGGGATTCAGTTCTCAAACAACCACAGTCTCATAAATATTTTAGATGCCCAGCACCACTTCGGCTCAACAACAATGTTCTCGAGTCTGATTTAGTAAATGTGCCAACCCTAGAAATTTCAAAAGTTATTCTGTCCTTGTGCCCAGAGGTCAGAAAATACCTTTACCAATTGAGAATTTCCAAGAATTCCGGTTCAAAACACAGAACTGCCTGGATTTATACTGCATAACCCGATACAGGTATAGCAACTCAAGACCAAGTGCTTGGTTTGACAGCTTAGTGAATTACAGACTTGACAAGAGGTTGTAGGAAAGGGTCCTCTTCTGGTCATTTCTTGCTCGAGGTTCATTTCACCATTTTGATACCCATCTACCAGAAAAAGAGTGCTCTTCAAGAGCATAAAACCATTACATTGATATGGTCAAAGAGCTCGAACCAGCTCTCAGCTGTCCCAAAGGTCACTCCATCTGAACTCAGGCAGGAACCAGGAGGCAATGAGAATCCACCCATAAAACTCTTCGCTGCAAGCAGCTTTTATGCCGCTACCCAGCTGTACTGTTCTGAACTGCAGACTGCTGTGCTGAAAGGCGAAACGTGACCTTTCGTGTTTGCTTTCAGTATTTGAAATACACTTGTTTAGCTTCACAAACATCCTCTTATAGATTCTACCAACAGAAGTAGATAAATGTAAGATAAAAGGATCTATCTGGCTACCTCATCTTTCCTAATACCCCATCTACTCAATAGCTATTCTCTACAGCATCAAGTGCTTTATGCTACCTCATAACAAACGGCTGAGTTACTCTCCTTGAAAAGCAAAGTTAATACAATTTCTAGTCAGTTCTGATGGCTGTGTTTGTGAATCAGCAGACCCTTGAAGATTTATCTCCTATCTTACTCTGGAAACCTAGAAACCGCACTGATCTGAGCTGCTGCAGGAATTTCTCTGACTTGCAGGGCACCAGCCAGGTACAGGGAAATAATCTCCCACACTGCAGCCCATGTAAGTACACATTTCACCATTTCTGCTGTCAGAGAAGAAGTGGAATCACTTAGAAGGTAACACAACCATCTGCTCAACAGCAACAATAATCCTGGAGGTTTTGGAGTAATTAAAACAAATGACTGAGTAGCTTTTGGCAATGGCAAATAAGCAGGCTAGTTAGTTAGTTACGATGCTAGGCACTTCTGAAGTTATTTCATGAATGTTTCACTTCCACAAAAGCCAAACTCATGCTGCAAGTTTTTAGTAACCTGAGGGCTTTTAAAGGGTCTGATACCACCAGTCACCTGAAGGACTTACAGGATGATATCAGGATAACAGAAATTTGAAGGAGCATGACAGATCCTGATCTAAGGAAGGTGATGATCGTGGAACACCCAAAGGCAGCAGGCACTGCTTAGTACCTGCACATGGCTCCCTGAAGCACGCCTGCATCGTGCTCTCGTTACTAACTGCAATCTGCCTGTGATTCATAAAGCTTCAGTGTTCCAGCTGAGCAATTTCTTTTGCTTTTAAGCAATTTTTCTCCCCCACAATCAAAAAGAAAAAAAAAAGTTCACAGCTGTTTTAATGGTAGTTTCTATTTCTCTGAAAAATTTGCACAAATAAGAAAAAACAGTAACTTCTCATCTGCCCTTAAGTACTATAACCAAGAACACACAATACATGCTATGAGAGCCTTACAGGCACTGTCAGCCAGGCTGTTTAATTTACAAATAGTCCTGCATTAGAGTGGTGCAAAGCCAATTTCCCTCTAGGAGTAGTGCCAGATATTAAACCTCTGCAGACCTCTGCAAAGGCTTCAGTGAGGTTATATTAGCATAAAACTGGAGCACTGGGATGCATTCCCTATTCCATCACACCCAGGCGCACGTCCTTGACTATCACCCTTGATTATCAAATACAATACCAAGAATCTGATTCACGCAAGAAGATCTGGTGAAGGAAACTGGGTGCACGGGCTGCGGAAGTTCAATAATTTTTATTCATATGCTGCAGAGCTGAGCAACTTCAGCTTTCTGCTACGAAGCTTAACCATTCACCACACTGCAGTACAGTCAGACAGTTTTACTGCTCACTTTCCATCTGTGTTTTATGGTCAACTGTCCATGCCAGACTACTAAATAATGGGATGCTTATATCTTGCTAAAAAATGCTTGCACTTGTGTGCACAGGAAGATTATATATATATTAAAGGTAGAGGTGGCTTTATGTACACTCCACAAATTTTATTGCTACTTATGCAGTAAGAAGAATCTCGTAAAATTTCAAAAAATAATTGAGTTAGAGCAGATGAATTCCTCAACTGTTCTTCTAGATTCTGTGACCAAAGGACGAACCCATCCTGATAATGGAGTACTCAGTGCACACAGGTTCCTGCAGACCACAGATACAAGATCTCTCTACTTTTCAATTATGCCTGCAGATCACAAATAAATACTGGTTTTTGACTCCCATTTTATTTTTATTGTCACGCATAATGGAAGGTTTTTGGAAGGAAATAGAGCCTCTGCCTGATTTATGAGCCTTTCGTATGCTCTTAACTGTATGCAGCCTCTTCCTTGCACTTATCACTAACAGAGTAACACTACATATACATAATTATCATCACTGAGCATTTAAAAGTGCAGTAGTGAGAGCTGGTCTCCCAGAACAACTTGCTGGTGCACACACTTAGGGTTCACTTTGCCTGTGCCCCTTAACATCACTTGTACTGATGAGAATGCCTCAGATCTGAGTTCATTGCTTCACACGTGCAAGTACATACCACAAGCAGAAAGCACTATCGTATAATGGCACAGCGGAGCATCAACAACTATTCTTGGATTTTATGGCATCATAAAACACATCTCAGGTGAAAGCTTTGTGTAAGATCATCCACAAGGAGACAAAATGTTTTAGAAGGTGAGGCTCAGATCCTCAGCTAGCCTAATCTGGCGGGGCTTCAGTGAAGCCAACAGGCCAGTGCCAACTTAGGCAAACTCCTACCATGTGCCTGAGTCTAACTCCTTGCTTCTCTTGTTGGCAGAAGACCCATTCATGAGATTTTGCAGAGGAATAAATCTCTTTCAGAATGGGCTGAGTGGGCTCGTTCAAGACATGCACGTTGTTCTGCAGCTGGCAAAGTAGCTTCAGATCATTTGCCCAAGAACCTTTTTATCATTAATTGCTGGAATCTGACAAATGTAGATCACCTATTTAATTGATTCTGGGAATTAAGATCTAACCACAAGAAGTAATCTGCCATCAGATTTTGTGGCCTAGTTTGGAGTCTTGATCCAAAGAGTAAACAAAGCTAATGAATCCTCTAATTAAGCATTCATTGAAGGAGCTCAGATGGCTGGTTGTTTCCTCTAGCTCTTGTAATCAAGTGGCAGAACAAACTAAAAGTGAACAAATTAACGTTACTGTGTGCAGCAAAACAGAATTGGTGGAAGCGATAATAAAATAATGAAAGCTGCTCAGGCATTTACTATATATGGCACAACCAAAGCAAATAACAGTTCAAAAGAAATAAATTAAATACTTATTAGCATTTTTTTTTGTCTTTCAGATACTATATTTCAGTCCTTGCAGACAAAACTCCCTATGAGCTTTGACAATTCATATTAGTGTTGTCTCATATTAAAAGGGCTGTTTGGAATACAGGAAGCATACTTCCCAAAACGCAAGATTCATTCCAATTCAAAACAGAAAAAGTGCAGCAGCATAAGGAGAATCAAAGCAGAACAACATATTTTTGTTTGTACTTCAGAGATCGTGACATAATTTCAAATATATAAATAAGATCTGGATTATGAACACCAGGAAAAAAGAAAGAAAACCCTTACTCCTGCTTGCACCTTTCAAAATCTTGATAGGTACAGTATTAGTGCCCTACTATAGACATTTTCAAACCTCTTCAGCATATGAGCAAAGCTTCAAAACAACCCAAAGGTGCAGCATAAATGAAAATAAAGCTAAAGAAATTTCTTTAGCCTCCTCATCCCTTCCCAGAAGTTTTAAAGAGAGCAGTAGCTGTAAGCAAAGGAAGCACTGTAGGGAAACTGAAATCCTTAACCTGACTTTTCTCAGCATTGAGGCTCTCGGGGGCTTCAATGAGAATTCTCTTATTCAGTTTTTACAACACACCTCTCTGTGGTAAGATCAATAAAAGGACCTATAGGGACCTCTCAGCAGAATGCATGCTTTACTGCATTCCCACAGCAGTAAAGTACTGGCACTCAGCATCGACTGCTACAGTGGACCCGTTCCAGCTCTTCCCTTTCTCCTTCAGGATTGCTGTGATCAATTTATCACTAAAAAAAAAAAAAAAAAAAAAAAAAAAAAAAAAATTCAATAATACATGGTGTCACGGAAAGCAAATATGTTGATTTTTGAATTTCCAGTAAATTCATCAACAATTACAGAACACTAGAAAGTAACTTTCTTAATCACACTTAATTATGTGTAATATATCTCAGCTGCCTGCTTTGCAAGCATAGGTAGCACACATCAGCTCTCAGCAGATCATTTTACATTGTATGTTATTTACATCACAGTTAAGAATTTTTCAGAAGTGGGAGCGCCTGATTCCCCAGTCTATCAGAGTTTTGCTTTCTTGAGTAGAAAAATCTAAAAGGATAAACAATGCTGTTGCTCTTCTGACTTGGGAATGCTCAGTTTCTGTGTAAATCAAAACCAAGCAGACACAGCTTATTTTATGCTTTTGAAATAAGACCAGGTGCAGATGATACACGCTTCATTCTGCCATGCACCTCAACCCCAAACATACCTGTTAGACTTTCTGCTGGGGAAACCAACCTTTGATGCAAATAAGCAAAAGGCAAGCCCCACTACATTCCAATGCATGAATCTTTTCCAGCTCAGGGAAATTCTTTACAGGCTCTGGTTTTGCATTCAAGTTATTTCCCTGTACACATAAAGCCCTAGCACGGGAGAGTCTTTGGCCCTAAACCTACACTTCTCCTGGGTACAGGTTAACTAAATAATATGAAGCAGAGGGAAATTTGCAAACAGTAATGTCAGAAATGTTTGCTTTTGCTTCTGCAGCACTATTACGCGACTGCACAGCGGCCACTTTTCGTGTTATTAATGTCATTTCAGTATCAATCATGACAATTTACGTTATTTAGGTCAGCCAACCTAGTGGAGGTTTCCAAGGGATGAACCTGGTCTTACAATTCTTCTGTCTAAAGTCCGTGTTACATGAAATCATGAGACTCACACCTAATTAAAACAGCAAGACAGCAGCTGTAGGTAGCTTTAGCAGATGGAAAGGGAAGTAATGCTAAGCAGCTGGGTGACTCAGCTCATCTCCAGTGACCACCTGCCTGCTTTTTTTCCCCACTGCAATCTTAAACACAGACAAGGCAAACAGCACAGACCATTTCATTCTAATTGGAAGCCAGTCTTTATCCTGTTCCTCTATTCGCTACTACTTTAGAGATTTTTCTAATAAAAATATCAAGAGGCCAGATTGTGCTCTGCATTATGACAAAAAGCAACAAAAGGGAGACAAAGAGAATGGGAGAACCAGCATTAGCATTACTCTGTACCTGGAAATTTGAACTTCCAAGGTAGGATGCCTTGAGCAGTGGTTTCCCTTTCATTACAGCAAGAAAGCTTCATCCTTACCTCTGACTAACACTGAAATTCAACATTGCACGGCTGTCTGCAGACATGCTTTCCCATCTTCCTAGCACACACTACTGGAGGAGAAGGAGGGGTTTTGCACTCATTTTATGTCTTTAAAATGATATGGGAAAGAAAATTAACAGGCTACAATTACAAACCTTATTTTCCTGTGATATAAAGTAGAGGTTATTTTAGAAGTTGAGGCATATTAATTTATTAATACATGGCAGAATAATAGATACTATTAATATTTAAACCTTATGCTCAAAATTTAATGTAGGGGAGGTTAACAAATCCATTGGCATGAAACAATATATGCCAGCATCCATTTTTTGAGTATCCCCTAACAACTTGTATTTAGAAGCTCAATGAATCTCTGACCAAGCCTACTGGCAAATCATCCCACCTGCTATGATGTCTATGCTACTCATTTACTTCCCTGGGTGCTCTGCAAGATACACAAGCTACCTTTTTTGGGCAAAAGTCAAGAATAGCCACTCAGTTAAATCTAAAATTTATTAGCACATAAAACCATGCCTGTGCTGCTACTGTATTCTGCATATTTAATACATAAATAACAAGCATGAATGTAACTGCTACCAAATTTTTTTGAATAAAACTTGAAGCCTCACTTGCAATTCTTATGAGTTGAGAGCATTTCCATCAATCTTCATGTGAACACTTCATATTTGCAAAATAAAATCTCATCAGATTTACTGTGAGGTAGCAATGCATGTCTTTATTTGTTCTTTGCTTACTTAATTCTCTCCAGCATGAGCTCAGATGAAAAGAGCTTATACCTTTATATCTTTGATGGAAAATACCCTTCACAGGTTAACAGTTCTTTATATTCAAGTACACTATGACCTGTGGAAATGACAACACACAACAGGTAACGTTGCCTGAGAGCACTAGACTATAGAAGGAAACATGATGAAATCCACCCTGTCTTACTTTTATTAGATGATTCATATTAAGCAAGCGCATCTCTGTACCCAAAATACTTGGGTACTACTGTAATTAGTGACAGTCAGACAGCTTCATTTACATATATTACATGTATTAAGTTATCAACACCTCTTGGAGCATCCCAAAAAATATTTTGGCAACCTTACTTTTAGATGAATCTCTATTGCAATTGGTTTTACTCAATCGGTGGCTAATAATCTGTATCATATGTAGCTGCAAGGCAGCTGTCCAGTTTCAGCATCCACTGTAGTCAGGTTATGAAAGATTAAGTATTCAATCCCTGTTGTCCACATCTCAAACTTGCCTCCACAGAATTTCAAGAAATATAGAAAGCAAAGCTAGATGGCTAGACATTTACTTCTTTCCTGCTCTAAGAGCAAACTACACCTCATATTAGTTTCTTAATTCGTGTAATTACCTGGTTATTAAGAACCATTTGTGAGGAGATACATAGTGAGCACAGCAGGAGCTTGAAGAGCATACGCACCTCGTGAGAACTGCAAATAAGCTAGGAGAAAAAAATGCTATTTAGACATGTATTCTAAGCTTTCTGAGGTACAGGTGAGTGTTGTAAACCCCCAGCCCCACCGATAACCCGAGCCCTCCTCAGGCCCTGGCTATGGTGGGGGTTTACAACGATCCCCCTGCCACCTCCCTCAGGGGGCTTTGGGCGGGAAGGGGCGACCAGGCACAAAATGGCGCCGCGCAGCGTCCCTAGGGCTAAACCTGAGGGGGTCGTGAGGGAACTGCAGCCCCGAGGGACTCCCTGCCTACCTCAGACCCACCCGAGGAGGGACAAACGAGCAGTGCGAAAGCCATCGACCACAGCCCCCTCGTCTCCAACCCCCCCGCAGAGCCGCCCTGAACCAAGCGGGGCTGTCCTTCAGCCGCCGCGTCCCTCCCCGTCCCCGCCTGGCGGCTGAGCCCGCCCGCCCTCCCCGACGATAAATAGGGGCCGTCGGGCGGCGCCGAGCCGCAGAGCAGTCGCTGGCCCCCCTGCAACCATGAGCTCATACGGCTACGACCCGTTCTTCCCCTCCTACAAGCGCCGCTATGCCGACAGCTCGCGGCTCCACGTCTCCACGATGCGGAGCAGCAGCGGCGGCTACAGCTCGGGGCGCTCGGCATATTCCAGCCTCTCGGCGCCCGTCTCCTCCGTGTCGGTTCGCCGCAGCTACGCCGCCTCCAGCGCCTCAGGCTCCCTCCTGCACTCGGTGGACAGCCTCGACCTGAGCCAGGTGGCGGCCATCAGCAACGACCTCAAGTCCATCCGCAGCCAGGAGCGGGCGCAGCTGCAGGACCTGAACGACCGCTTCGCCTGCTTCATCGAGCGGGTGCACGAGTTGGAGCAGCAGAACAAGGTGCTGGAGGCTGAGCTGCTGGTGCTGAGGCAGAAGCACGCTGAGCCATCCCGCTTCCGAGCCCTGTATGAGCAGGAGATCCGTGAGCTGCGCCTGGCTGCTGAGGAGGCGACGAGCGAGAAGCAAGCGCTGCAGGGCGAGCGGGAGAGCCTGGAGGAGACGCTGCGGGGACTGCAGGCCCGCTACGAGGAAGAGGTGCTGAGCAGGGAGGATGCTGAGGCCAGGCTGCTGGAGGTCCGCAAGGGCGCCGATGAGGCAGCGTTGGCTCGGGCCGAGCTGGAGAAGCGTGTGGACAGCCTCCTGGATGAGCTGGCCTTCCTCAAGAAGGTCCACGAGGAAGAGCTGGCCGAGCTGCAGGCTCAGATCCAGTATGCTCACCTCTCCGTCGAGATGGACGTGTCGGCCAAGCCTGACCTCTCAGCCGCGCTGCGGGACATCCGTGCCCAGTACGAGAAGCTGGCGGCCCGCAACATGCAGAACGCCGAGGAGTGGTTCCGCAGCCGCTTCACCGTCCTCAGCGAGAGCGCTGCCAAGAACACCGACGCTGTCCGTGCTGCCAAGGACGAGGTGTCTGAGAGCCGCCGTCTCCTGAAGGCCAAGACGCTGGAGATCGAGGCCACCCGCGGCATGAACGAGGCGCTGGAGAAGCAGCTGCAGGAGCTGGAGGAAAAGCAGAGTGCTGACATCTCGGCACTGCAGGTGAGCACAGGCTGCCTTTCAGCCCACAGCACCGCTTGGTGCATAACGCGGGGGTGGTCTTGGGTGTACTGTGGTGAGCTGCTGTCAAAAAGGTAAATGAATGCTCCAAAAAGCATAAGGGGAAACAGCCTAGATGCTAAAATGAGGTATATTTAACCCTTGTGAATGCTTCAGTCTTTAAATAGTGGGAATTGGGTGCTTAGGGTTGTGGTAGGGTGCAGAGGGAGGGGTGGGGAAGACCTGCTGCGGAGCGGAGTGAGGGGGCTGACAGTCTGCTGCAGCAAGGTTAAGCTGCAAGGGCTGCAGGAATGCCTTGGCAGGTGGCGTTGCTAGACAGGGAAATCCTGAGGCTTGTGCACTGTCAATGTTCTTGCTTCCAACAGGATACAATCAACAAATTAGAGAATGAGTTGCGAACCACGAAGAGTGAAATGGCTCGGTACTTAAAGGAATACCAAGACCTGCTCAATGTGAAAATGGCCCTGGACATTGAGATTGCAGCATACAGGTATGATAGGGAGGATGCTTAAATCAATCTTGGATCAGGTTCCCCTTTTTCTATAAGAGAACTGTTTTTGTTCCTCTAGCTGAAAGTGTCAGAGATAGCAGAGTTCAATCAGATTTTCTTAAATGTCTTGCATGGAAAGAAGCAGTGCTTTTAAGTAAAGCAAAATCTGCACTGTGTAGCAAATACGAGTATTTTAGTATGCATATACAATGCTGTACTCATAGAGCAAAGAGATCCCTGAGCCTAAAGCCTGTTTCTGTATCAGTAAAACTCCTTAAAACAGGCAGCTATGTTTTCAGAACTATAAATCCCTTACACGTTTCCAACAATGGGATTTCTCTCTAATGGCTTAGTAGGAGATTACTTGTGAGTTCTTTCACAGAATAATTGCTTTTAAATAACCGTTTAATGTTTTAACCCAGATAGTGATAGAAATCATAAATGCTGAAACAGTTTCTGTGAATGCCACAGAGGGAAATACTGAAAGTGGTTAGCTGTTAGACAAGGTTTACAGGTGTAACATGGAGTTGTTACGTCTGCATTGTTCTCTGGAACTTCACAGGCTACCAAAATACAGATGTATCTTTACCTGCTGTAGAAAACTATTTTTTTTCCATTACTTCTAACAAGTACTAATTCCACAGTCATACACAATTCAAAGTTAATTTATACTAAGACAAGAATACTACTGCCATGCCATTATTCATTATGGGCTAGTATTTGCACTGTAGGTAGTATGCAGTCCCTAGGGCATGTGGCTGCTCAAAGCATAATAATGGTACACTTGTCCATAGCTGAGTTTGCCAAATACCACTGCAGCAGAGCTAAGATGCTTGCTTTTTTTTTTCCTGCTAGAAAACTGCTGGAAGGTGAAGAGACTCGACTCAGCTTCACTAGCGTTGGAAGCATCACCAGTGGCTACACCCAGGCTGCCCCGACTTTTGGCAGGTCTGCATACAGTGGCCTCCAGTCCAGTTCCTACCTGATGACAACCCGTTCCTTCCCCACCTATTATTCTAGTCATGTCCAGGAAGAACAGATTGAAATAGAGGAAACAATTGAGGCTGCTAAAGCAGGAGAAGCCAAGGCAGCCCCAGCAGAGGAAGGTGAGGAGGAAGAGAAAGAAGAAGGTGAGGAGGAAGAAGCAGGAGGTGAAGAGGCTGAAGAAGAGGAGGAAGGTACTTAGTTAACTTTCAAACCCCTCTCTTCCATGTTTCACCCTGCTCATATGGGATAAAACCCAGAAATCTTAGGAACTAGGCTTAATTAATAGGCTTTTCTCACTGACTATTAACAAGCATGTGAGATCAAGCATGTAGCATTTGAGCAAGTACACCTGAATTTAGAATAGAAGGTAAGGTAAATGTTTAGTGCCAGGAAGATTTTAGGACTGGTTCTAGCCCTTTGGAAACTGCTGGCTGTTTCTCATTCTTACAAAACTTAATGCAATACTTTAAAAGCAACTAATGCTGGCAGCAAGCAATATGTCTATTTCAGACATCCTGAATGAATAGCAAGAACATCCTGAACTAAATACTAATTCCCAGAGTAGCCTAGGATAATGGGAACATCACCTGATGTCTGGATGTAAGCATTGGGTTCAGTGGACAGCAGTTCCTGTTCCCTGAGGTCTAGGTAGCTTTCTTGTTTTCTTCAACCAAAGTATATGCCACTTGCTGTCCCCCAATTTACTTAAAAACTCACCTTTTTAAAGTGTAAGAGCAACATTATAGCTCTGAAGGCTTTAACCTAAATGTATCTGAAATGCATTGGTTACCATTGGGCTAATTGAGTTTAACATGATTAATTATAATTTTATTAATAAAATCAGATCATAATGGAAGTACAGCTAAGAGCCAATTGAAGGATAATAGCAAGAGTCCTTCTTGAACTCAGATCTTTGAATAAGGTTTAAAGCAGTGAATCTACAGTTAATCACTATTTTTCAAGACTGGTTTCTAAAAGACCTCTAAAATATTTCCCTCCCCCTGAAATTTAGAATAAACTGGCTGTGTAACTTTGTCAATCACCTTAGAAGTCCTAGATATGTTGCTGCTTTCATCCAGAAATCAGTTGCTAGAGTCATGAAGTTTAGGTTGGCTGTCATCCAAATGGATGGAGATGAAGGGTGCAGGTATGCTGGCTTCTGTGGAATTGGGGCTAGGAACTAGTCTGAAGCAGTGTAGGAGATGAGAAATGTTTCTTCTCGCTTTTCAAAGGTGCGAAGGAAGAATCTGAAGAAGCCAAAGAGGGTGATGAAGAAGGGGAAGAAACAGCAGCTGAAGAAGGAGAGGAGTCTCAAGAAACTGCTGAGGAAACTGGTGAGGAAGAAAAGGAAGAGAAAGAGGCAGCAGGAAAGGAAGAGACTGAAGTGAAGAAGAAAGCTTAATTTCTAAGGCAGTCCAGCTTTCTCATCAAGTTAAACTATGATTGACTGAGCTAAAATTGCAGTCTCACATATTTAATTCAGTGACCACTGAGGTTTAAAGTTAATGATCTATGATGTTTCTCTATGCGGAGTATCAGTATGCTTGCAGAGCACCCACTGGCTTGCTCCCTGAGTGCTGCATGGTCTACACGTATGAATTCAGGGGTTATGTCCTATTTGGGTGATTCAGAATCTTAAAATTCTAAAAGGAAAAAATAAGTCATGGAATGAAAGTTATCTTTAACTTGCATTTAAAATAATTATGGAAACCTTGGGTGGGCAAAATGGAGGCTTCAATAAGTATGTGCAATAAAGCTAGTCAATAAAGTTACAGAAATGCTTACACAGATTCCTTGTAGTATGTGTCCTTTGTCATTAATGCACTTACAAATGATAGATAAAGTGGGGTATTGCACGCATCTTTCAAGCCTGGTGAATGATTCTGTCCCAAGCAGATACATTGGAGCACTGATATGTGGATAAAGCAATAAGGGCATTTGTTTGTGCTGTGGATGTATGTTCACAGGAAATTTTAATTATAAAAATACACCGCAATCTGAATGGGCTGTTAGCTTTGGATTTGCCAGTCTTGTATGAACAAACTCTTTTGTCTTATGGAAGAATTCTAATTAATATACAAACTGATACTGGTGAAAAAACACTGGGTAGGTTCAGTGATGAAAGGGGAAAATGACTGCTGACAAGGTTTGGAACAAGGTCTGTCTTAACACATTGTTGTAGTTTCTTTGTTTTTAAAAGATGGGGGTGTGGCAGTCTCTGACAATTGAGTGTGAGCTGTCTTCCCCCAGACTGCTGTCTTAAGTTCTATCACTATGGACTTGAGGCTCATTCTCTACTGATAATTTATCAGGGCCTTTTAAGGTTTTCAATATGAACCGAAGAAAAGTCTCACAA